TTCCTACTGATACAGACTATATGTGGACGTGTCTTGCACATGACATGTTCGACGCAGTACTCGCATCTTGTAACCGACTTCACCGTTTTGATTTCCTACATTCCGGCCCAACTCTCGGAGCGCCGGCAGTCGTCTCGCTAAAGTATCACCACTTTGGAACGACGTGTGGAAGGCATAGTGTCTCCTACCTGCGGATAAACGCTGCCAATTCCAGCGTGCTCTGGCGCAGCTGTAGGGGATGTCAGTCTAGCGTCAAAGCAACCCGTTGTTTGCATCCTGCTGCACACGGACCGCTTGTCACCCTAATCGCTTTCTTTCGCCACTAAGGCTTGGAATGGTAGAAGCATTGATGAGGTCGGGGTTCCACTGCCTGAGCGACTTTTTTGACCCCGGCACTCACCTGATCAACTGCAGACGAGATCGACGATATTGTCGTGCCCGCAATACGACGGTTAGAGTACAATGGTCAGATGAAGTTTCCCGCGCTCACGGAAGACAAGTCAGTCATCCGGGTCCGGAAACGAAGAACTCGGTTACGATAGGTCATGGTCAAGATTGTGAATTGCATCACTGGGTTTTTGATGTCTACCAGCTACGGTGTAGCGTCGCTGAAGGATTAGCATCAAGCTCGTCATGCATGCACCAGCAGGAAGAATAACTGAACATATGAAACGAGGATATTAACAACATCAATTCACTTCTTTATTTGCCTCCTTGGTCCTGAGTCGCTTGCTAAACTCTTGCTGCCAGTTGCCCTCTGCCCGGCCGTCGACCTATACACAGCCACACTAATTAATTCAAGATGGTCCAGTGCCGTACTCACAGCAAACTTATCGCTCGGCAGGTGTACGCGTCAATCAGACGCGAGTTGTGTCACCTTGTACAACTCAAGGTCCCTTGGCGTCTCTCTTACAATGTCATCTACTAGGAGACTGTCACAAAGTTCGTGATTGGACACCACAGAACATAAAATGGGCATGCTTTAGCTCACCCCAACCAATCCACAACCACCCCATGCTCCGCACGCACGGCACGATGGAGGCAGTTCTCACGTACCTGATACGATTTTTATGCACCGTCGCCATCACAATGCCACTGAAAGCCGACTTTGGACCCATGCCCGATACCGCGTGTTACATGTGGACTGCAGTTTCTACCTCATGCAATTAGCCAATCCGAACTCAATGCAACGCCCCTAAGATGGCTACGTCGCAGTCGAAACCATTTAATGCGCCTTGACTGCTTGCCCCGAGTCCAACCGCTCTGAGCAGCAATAACAGCTCCAAAGCAACTCATTAGTCTGGATTTTTCGAGGACAACATTTTGGACATTAGTCGAGTGAACCCCTCTCCGGCGTGGCCACATGCCTCCTCTGAGCTCATGGCGCTGTGGACACTACTGGTTGCGGGCTACCAGTACAAGGTGAAACATGTGCGAGCGGGTGAGCCGCACATCACCTCAATGATGGAACTAGTGCCCCTACAGCGGTCAACACAAGTGCGTCGGCTCTTGCAACTTCCATCTACTCTGAACGGCGAACGCGCCAGATTCCAAGCGATCTTGCGTCGGCATGGCCAACACCCATCGCATTTCTGGATGAATTATCCCACACACTGATTGGTCAATACTGTGGCTGCGAAGCTACCTTTCATTTGATTTTCCCATTTCTATTACCACATGCTGTACAGCAGAGAATCCAATAAGTTGATAGAACTGTAGGATTAAAAGTCACATACACCCTAATATACAGTACACTGAATTATGACCGAGATATTTCCAATATCTCCTTCGCTTTGATCAAATGTGCTTAGCCGATCAATCTGACCCACCATGAACATGAAGTCCAAAATCCTAATTCAGTCCCAATTCATGTAGTTTATTAAATAATCATTGGCTTAATGCACTCATATTGTATCATCAACGAGCCAAGTAGGAGCACAATACCTTGTGCTTTGGCAAATTAACATTACGCTAGACATGAATTGCTCTAACGATACATTCTTTTCCAAATATCGTATTCAACATCTAACTTTGACGAACAATCCATGTCTCGGATTATTGGCATCGACGACGTGTCGCAGAAGACTCATGAACGTATCAAACCCTCCGAAGCGAATGTGGTAAAGGCTTTGAATACGTCAACCTTTCTCCATGCCTTTGTCGATGAAAAGGATTGTCGTAGAAGGCCAAGTC